AGGAGGAAGGGAGGCAGGGTGGGAGGGTGGGAGACAGAGAGGCATAAGTCCACCTCTAATGTGGTGGAGCCAAGCTGGTGTGACTGACTCTCCCCTCCTGAGGCACTGGGCTCCCTCAGAGGGTCCCCCGTTTGTGGTAAGAACTGCATGTGTGTGGGAGGTGATCTCTGAGCATCTAAATGGTCCTTGTCCTGTCTCTTGTCACGATCCTTTATGCGTCTCACGATTCCTCCAAAAGCAGAAATCGTTCTTCTCGGGAAAACATCCAAATCCCACATGAACTGTTAGGTGTGTTACTTTGCTGCTTCCAGATGGAATTTGTTACAAATTTCATTTTAAAAGCAAAAACACCACCACCAACAAAAGACTTTTTCTTTTCCTGCTTGTCTGGTCCTAAGAGCTTTAGGGAACAGATTGGACTGTGGACCAGGCCATTCCTTAAAGATAAATCATTTTATGTACTTGATTTTACAAATATATATCGCAAGCCACATCAGGTAACAATAGAAAAGTATTGACATTAAAGAGAAACCAAACCACCCAAGTATGTTGATATAATCTGGCTTCTTCCTGACAAAGTGCCACTGTTCCAGTTGTTGAAGGGTTTGCCATTGCTGGTTGATAGTAAGGTCTTCCCAGTTGGCTGTCTGTGCAGCTAGGATCCCTGAAAACGCTGTTTTAGGGAACGATTGGACACCTGAAATACGTGCCTTTTGCTTATCAAGCTCTTCTCCCTCCAAGGTACTAGTTTCAATGAGTTTGGGCCTCGGCGCTTTTGCCCACCTGGTATCCCTGTGCGCAGTTACAGTTTTGCACACTTTGGGCTTCGCCTGTTCTTCTGCCTAATTGAAACCAGTACCCTACACAGCAGAGGCAGTTTGTCATCTGCTTTGATCATCATCATGCTTCATTCATTTCCTGTTTTTATTTTATATACTCAGGGAATTTAGAAAACTAAGCAAAATAGTGAAAAAAACAGTTCTGCCCCTATAAATGCCACTACAATGTCCTGTAGTCACCGTGTTCTCACCTGACTTCTGTTTAGAAATCATTTTCAAAAAGGTGAAATCATCACTCTCATGTAAATATCAAATGAACAGGAGATGGAGATTTTATTTAACTCATTAATTAATGAAGGGACGGTAAGATGTTAAAACAAGTTCAAAGGAAAATCTCAAGAGTAGACATTTATATAAGCAATCAGGAATTTTGAATTGGATTTGTTAAAATGCAAATACAAGGTGTCCCAAAAATGTATGTACACTTTGAATAATTATTAATTCCAATGGTTTAAATCTGAAAAGAAAGAAACATCAATTGAGTTATCAACTGTAAAGCGTATATTCATTTTTTGGGGGGACACCCTATATAGAGAGCCTAATGTCATGTGGAGCACTAGAATGTAATATTTGAGATAATCATTTCTACAGGGTGGAAATCAATGATGTATCCCCACTGGGGGAAATAAATTTGTATTTCTATGGATAAGAATTGTTTGAAATCTTGCCTGTGTAATTGCTTCACTCTGTCAGCCAGAGTTTAAACTGTGATAAACCATAACAACAATCTTATTTTCCTGAGTCATATAATTTCCATTGATCCAAAAGGGGGCAACTGTAATGAATGCTTCTGCTATTAATACTAACCTCACATGCATCACACCCTCCTGGTCCTCGACCTAGGGACATCCTGTTGAACCAGACACGGTCCTTGCCTTCTCAGAGTCTATAGCCCTGCAGTTGACAAGGGCAAGCAGACTGGTTTCCACTGCTTTGAGTTAATGAGTGTTGAGAGAGATAAGCAGAGTTTGCTAAGGAGATACACCAAAGGGGCTCAGGAATCTGACAATTATTTTTTGGAGGATGTGAAATTTGAAGGACACGGGGTTGAGGGAGAGCATGGTTCACAGAGCGATCCCCTGGAGTGAGAAAGGTGGGGAAGGAGGGAAGGAGGAGGGTTGAGGAGAGAGCAGGTGGAGGTGGGCTGTGCAGTAACGTGGGAGAGGCAAGGAAGCGCCAGGTCCTGAAGGGGCTGGAAGCCACGTTAAAGTTTTCAGCTTTTTTTGCTGATGTTACTGGAAGATTTTAATCAGGCGAATCATGTCATGATGGTTGCAGTTGATAGCGATTGCTCTGAATGAGGAGAGGAGAATGACGTGGAGGTGAGCGGGAAATCAGCGAGGAGACCACTGACCCTTTAAGTCAGCGATACAGCTATGGTCTTTGCCGGCTCACACGCCCAAGCCAGCATTCCTCCCTTGCTCTGGCTCCAGCGGCACTGCTGTCCCAGGCCTGACTGTCGTCCAGCAGAACACAATGCAACGGTCCAGGCCTCTTGATAACACAGCTGCTTAAAACCAACACACCCATAATCCTACCCTTCTTCCCTAGCCAAGACTGGCTCTACTGATGCACAAATCGAACAGTTGCACACAGTCCCATACTTAAGGCAGAAGGGCCCCCACTATTGGTTTCATGATCTGCTGTCACCATTTTGAAATCCTTAATTTTTGAATGCCCTTGTATCTTTCATCTCACCCTGAGTCCCACCAATGACGCAGGGAGTCCAGCTTCCAGCAATCGATAGATGGTAGCCTTGACAGTAATTCTTTAAACCCCAGGGCAAGATGGCCTGAAGACTTTAGGAGCTGTTCCAAGATAAGACTGAATGTCATCAGCAGTCCCAAAGACAGAACCCAGCTCCATGCTGCGAACAGACTCTTCTCAGACCTGTGACTCTCTCTCACCAGCACCTCTAGGCAGGACTTCTGGACAGCAGCCAGGCAATGTTTCAGTTCTAAGAAGATGAGGGTGTTCTTGACTTTTGCAGAGTTAAACACTTAGGGAAACTTCAGGAAGCAAGCACTTGGTAAAAGGTAAAGCTAGCTGGCCCGTCAGCTCCCTGCCTGCTGCCCCGCTCATTCTCATTTTCATGGTTCTTAGCATGTTTATTCTCTTCTTTCCAGTGGCCAAAGGACAAGTTTAAATTTCTTATTTCCTCTAGGGAGCCCGGAGAGAGGCAACCGGCACCAAATACAGGAAGTCATGTGGAGAGGATCTCTTATTTATTACAGCTCCCATATTACTTCCCTTCCCCCAGCCTCCGCCCCCACCCCCAGGCATACTGAGTCTCCAGCTCTTTCCTGCAGCAGAGAACAGGAGACAGTCCACCTCTGCTCCCTCGGGTCTGTGGGCGCCCCAAGGATCTGGAGGCTGCTTCTGGGAATCCCACCCTGTGTGGCTGTGTGACTGAATGGGAGGCCCTTACATTTCATCTCACATAGGAAGGCCCTAGGAAGGTCTCTGGGACCGGGTTCACTTTCAGGAGCCTGAACACCACAGAGGAGAAAGGTAGGTGCCGGTGTTACTGTGCTTTCTCCTGCTGCCTGTGATTCGAGCTGTTCTGAAGTAGATGTGACTGCCCACCTGGCTCTCTGATTGGGCTGCATACCTTCCACCTGGGTCTTTTTGACGTGGACTGATTTACAGGACTGTGAGCAAAAGGGTGAGAGGGGAGGTGGCATTCGGGTTTTTTGAATTTGTACATCTTTGGATAAAGAATGCTAACCAGCAGAGTACATAGAGCATGATGCTGATTATTATTCTTTTTGGAGGGCTTAAATCATTAGAAGTTGCTTTTTTATTTTTATTTTTTTGGCTTCTGCTGAAGGGAACAAAGTTTACCACTTGCCTTTATTTTTTTTTTTTTATAACAATGTAGACCCCTCCCTTTATTTATTTATTTATTTATTTATTTTACTCTTTTCTGAGTTTTTCCTTTGGGATAAAGGTATACTCGAGCTGACAGGATTTTCTAACAGGGATAGAAACAGGTGTACCTAATGTCGGGGACCTATGGGGTGTGAGTAAATGAGCAAGAACTTTGCTTACGATCTGGTGGACTTCCATGTTACTTTCCAGAATTTGCTGTGAAACAATTGCTCTTCCTGAAGTTTCCTGAAATCGAATGCAAGTAGTGACACCATATGTCAAGGGATATCTGTGAAGAATGGCTTACTTACTCTGCTGTGATCGTTCTATGCAGGGATGGTGCTCACCCCATAGCTGGCTGCTTTTTGGGGTCAGTGAGGTCTCTCTTGGGGTTCAAGATAATGTGTCCACTGAGGCCTGGAGCAGGGTCAAGACATTCAAATAACATTACCTATTCTCTGGAATTCTTTTTCTGCCTCTGATGGTTTTTTGTTTGTTTATTTGTTTGTTTGTTTAATTTTTGTCCTCATAGTCTTCCTCTCGGAGAAGTATTTTATAGCAACTTCATAGAATATCAGCCAATTTATACCTATTATTGAACATAGACTCTTCTTCCGTAGCTTATTTAGTTCAGGTGTTCAAAATTTCTTGCCACTCATGTTTTTAACCTCAACAAAGTCTCCCTCCGCTCTGTCCTCCATGTCCTACCACAGGGTTCTTGAGAAAATCAATTCTGTCAATGTCACTCTCAACAGTGAACTAGTCCCATCATGCGCCTGCTGCCTAAAGGGCCCTCTGGAGTCAGCAGCATTAACATCACTTGGGCTGTCAGAGGGGCAGGCTCTTCATCCTCTCCTCAGACTTCCCAAATCTGCATTTTAACCAGGTCCCTGCACATTAAACTTTGAGAAGCTCCAACTTAAAGAAGGTAAACAAGACCTTCAAGGTCTGCTCCTTATCATCGTGCCCAGCCTCTCCTCTCCCCACCTGAGCTTCCAGCTGTACTACATACCTTTCAACTCCTCAGGACATGAGAGCTCTCTGCCCACCTATATCTATGGGTGCTATTCTCCCTGTCCAGTTCACTGCCAATCATCTTCTCCACCCAACTATCCACTGCAGCCTGACTCCTTTCCCTCCTTCCACCCCCATCCAGTCCACCTCATACTGAGTGTCCCTCGGGTCTGTGGTTTGATGGCACTTTGTGAAATGTGCTGTCATAGCCTTAGCACATTAAGTGATGGTTGCTATGTTTATTTTCATCCTTGAGGAGTTATCAGTCTTTGATTTCTGAATCCATAGCCCTTGAAACAATGCCAGGTGCACAGCTTTTGCTTAATCAATGTTTATTGAATTTGTGAGCACATGAATGAAAACATGAATGAATCTGTTGTCTGAAGAACCCAAATTTATAACCAGATCAATAGTTTAAAGCTTTTCAAGGAGATTGCTGATCCCTGTAACGTTTTCCTACACTCTCCTTTAGGAGACTTTGCTATATTCATTTTTTTTCATCAATTATTTTGAGTACCTACCTTGTACCATACCTTTTTAGAATTGATTTCTTTATGTCTCTGTGGATAGCCTCTCCCATTAGGTGTTTCTCTATCAGTGCCCCTCACTCCACCCCTCCAAGTCAGAGACTTGCGTATTTATTTTATTTTTTATTTTTATTGATTGATTGAGAGAGAGAAACACTAAGTTATTGTTTTTTTATTTTTTATTTTTTTAAAATATATTTTATTGATTTTTTACAGAGAGGAAGGGAGAGAGATAGAGAGTCAGAAACATCGATGAGAGAGAAACATCGACCAGCCACCTCCTGCACATCCCCCACTGGGGATGTGCCCGCAACCCAGGTACATGCCCTTGACCAGGATTGAACCTTGGACCTTTCAGTCCGCAGGCCGACGCTCTATCCACTGAGCCAAACTGGTTTCGGCTATTGTTGTTCCACTTATTTATGCATTCATTGATCGAATCTTATGTGTCCCCTGACTATGGACTCACACATGTTTAGCAAATACATGTATACTGAGCACCTTCCATGGAAACACCAGGTTCTGTACTAGGGATACAATGGCAAGTGACACAGATGTGAGTCCTGCCTCCATCCAAGTCTCCTTAGAGAGGACGTACATTTTCTCATCCTCTGTCCTGCTTCTCCCTAAAAAGCATTAAAGAAAACTCAAAGTCTGATCTCTAATACATGTTGGCACATCCAAGTACATAGATCAGGAGCTTGAAGTATGATTTAGTAAAAAGCTGTGGGGCCCTGACTTAGTCCTGCACCTGTAACTCACTTGCCATGTGAACGTGGGTGAGTCCACATCCATTCTCTGAACTTTGATTTTTCTCAAGTGGTAAGCAAGACAGGAGCGACAAGTGAGAGGAGCCTCGGCTTTCATGTGTGCACATAGAAGACAATATCCCAGGAGCCTCTGCACTCACCTTCTCTCAAGCAGTTTGATTATTTGAAGGGCATTGCTCTGTAGTTTTCTGAGTCAAACTGGCAAAGAGATCTTAAGGGAGTCATTTTATCACTATGCCCAAGTGCTCAGCCATAGACATTGATGTTGTCCATTGGTACTGTCAAAGAGATCTTAAGGGAGTCATTTTATCACTATCCCATGTGCTCAGCCATAGACATTAACATTGCCCATTGGTATCTACTATGGAGCACAATGTGGCAGTGGCTCTTAGGGAGCAGTGGCCTACAGCTTACTTTAATCCACTGGGCATGAGTTGTTGGGTATAGAACTACTTTGAAAAGGGGCAGCTGAGGGCAGAGGCAGTGTCATCCTCAGGCAATCCCTGCTTTTGGAGAGCAGCCAGGAGAAAGGAAGGAAGTAACCCTACCAAGTGGTGTGGGGAAAACGTAGAAGCCTGTAGACATAGAGCCAGTCCCTGACCCTCACTGTGGCAGAGCTGCAAAGGACTCTCTTCCTGACTACTCGCAGGCTTTTTCTCTTTCCACCTAAAGGTGTGGCCTAACCAGATTTCACCTAGAATCAGATGGTGGACGTAGTATCCTTTGTCCCCAAACTTTGCACTCCCATAGAGTGCGTGATCAGCTGGGGGAAAAACAAATATTTTATATTTATTCTGTAGACACAGCCATGGGGCTCAGGCTAAAGCAAACGGTTTAGGCACCCTCGTGCAACCACTTCCCCCCTCTTTGAGCCCTGTTGTCTTGTTCTCCCACCACCTGAAGTTTCCATAACAATGTGCCTCCTGGGCCTCCTAAATTCCTTCTTGCTTCCTGTTGCTCATGCATCTCTTAACCACTATACCCCCTGCACACCCACCTTGTCTATAGTTTCCCTTCAGCAGCCAAAGTGGGTTTTTTCCTGGTCACTTCCTAACTATTCAAATTAACATTAATTTTTGGCTTTTATAAAAAAGACAAGAAATAACAAGTGTTGGTGAGGATGCAGAGAAAAGAGAACCCTTGTGCACTGTTGGTGGAAATGTAAATTGGTGCAGCCACTTTGGAAAACAGTATGGAGGTTCCTCAAACAACTGAAAATAAAACTATCATATGATCCATCAATTCTACTACTAGGTATTTATCCAAAGAAAAAGAAAACACTTCTTTGAAAAGATATATGCACCCCTATGTTCATTGCAGCTTTATTTGTAATAGCCAAGATGTGGAAGCACCTTACGTGTCCATCAATAGATGAGTGAATAAAGAAGATGTGGTACATTTATACAGTGGGATGTACTCAGCCATAAAAAGGAATGAAATCTTGTCACTTGTGACAACGTGGATGGACCTTGAGGGAATGACGCTAAGTGAAATAAATCAGAGATAGATAAATACCATGTGATGTCACTTATTTGTGGAATCTAAAACAAAAACAAAAAAAAAAGTCTCAAAACTCATAGATACAGAGAACAGAACAGTGGTTGCTAGAGGGGAGGGAGTCAGAGGTCTGGGCAAAATGGGTGAAGGGGTCAGGAGGTAGAAGCTTCCAATTATAAAACAAAGAAATTATGGGGATGTAATGTACAGCATAGTGTCTGTAGTCAATAATATTGTAATGCATAGTTGAAAGTTGCCAAGGGTAAGTCCTAAAAGTTCTCAACACAAGGAAAAAAAGAATTTTGTAATTTTGCATAGTAATGGATGGGAGCCAGGCTTATTGTGATGATCACGTCTCAGTGTACACAATATCAAATCATTATGTTGTACCCCGGAACTAATATAATATTATATGTCCTTTATACCTCAATAAAAATGAGAAAAAACAACAACACACACCCATTAATCTCTATTAGTAAGTATAAGTTGTAGCGACAAAAGGAATGTTAATGTGCATAGGAGGATTCTAGCAGCCACAGATCTCAGAATGTATCTGAGATCAACTTTAGCTATACCTGGTTAAACTTTTTTTTTTTAAACAGAGACGTGTGGTGGGCTAGAAAGAGGCAGACCTGGTTTTGAATCCCCCATCTGCCACTTCTTTGAGTTAGTAATTGTATCTTGCCAAGTTTTAGTTTTGTTTCTGAAAATGCAGCTAATATTTAGCTCACAAGGTTATAGAGAAGATTAATTAGCTAAAGTACTTAAAATGTTGCCTCAAGAAACACATCAGATCTTAAACGAGGAGGCTGGCCAACATGGGGAAAATGAG